CCTCTAAGTAAGGAACTGAGACCCAGAGAGGGAAGGGACATGGTGGCAGTGCTGGTGCACGCTGGCCACCCACAGTGACTCTCTGTGCTCAAGTATGCTCCTGTGTCACTTCAGGTGGTGAGCCCCACCATCAGCTCCCCAGTGTGCCAGGAGCAGCTGATTGAAGCGGGGAAGCTTGTGGACCGTTCGGTGGAGAACTGTGTCCGTGCCTGCCAGGCGGCCACCGATGACAGTGAGCTCCTGAAGCAGGTCAGCGCCGCGGCCAGTGTGGTCAGCCAGGCTCTGCATGATCTTCTGCAGCACGTGCGACAATTTGCCAGCCGAGGCGAGCCCATCGGCCGCTACGACCAGGCCACCGACACCATCATGTGTGTCACCGAGAGCATCTTCAGCTCCATGGGCGATGCTGGTGAGGGGCTGGGCGGTGTGGGGCGAGTCGGTTTGGGATTCCCTATGGTGTTGATTGTAAGAAAGGTGACAGGTGGCTGGGAGGACAAGAGACTTGCACACTGAGGCTGGGAAAAAAGATGGAACACTCCTAATATGCCCATCCACCACACTTAAAGACTTGGCTCGCTAGGGTATTTTTAATGACTTAGATTCACAGTAAATATTTTTTGTTCTAGCAATGAGGCTTGGAAGGAAGAAGTTTATCATACTCACAGGTCCCAGAATGGGTCACCACATACTGTTCAGGGTCACAGGGAAAGCGTCAGGTCTTGGTGAGGCAGAAAACAAGAGTGAGGGGGAAGCTGAGGCCATGGCCTTGATTGGGATTTCTATGGGAAATGCAGGGCAGGATGAGCAGTTTAGGACTGGCTACTTGGAATAATCTCAGCAGGCCCCAGCTACTGGGTGGTCCCTAGTTGCCTGTTACCTCGCCCTGGCATGATTAAAGCAAAGGAATATTGCCTCCAGGGGTGTACTGGTACTGGCCAGACAGAGGATGTGTGGCTCTGGGTTGGTTAGTTTGCACATCAAAGGCATGCCACCTTTGCTGTTTGGAAGAATTGACTAGCCCCAGGGGGCAGTCTCCAGCTAGAAAGGTGTTTTTTTTTTTTTTTATGTCCAACATCATAATATACAGAAAATAAAAAAATACATATATAATCCTCCTTTTCCATTAGTTGAAATAGTAAGTTGCCCCAGCCCATCAGTATCCCAATCTAAATCTCCAGAATTGGTCATTTGCCAGTTACTGTTTCACCTGTCCAGAAATTTGTAATCTTCCTGCAGTCACATGTGTGTATATTATACCCTCCTTTTATATAAATGGAATTGTATTTGCATACTCTTGTAACCTTTTTCACTTACTGTATTTTCCATGTTGAAGCATACACATCTTTTTAATGGCTGCATAATATTCTATTCAATGGATCAATCATAATTTACTTAATTATCTTTTAACGGACATTTAGATGTTTCCATGTTTTTTCATTTGCTTGTTAGTTTGTTTTGCTATTACAAAAATAACAGGACTGTAACTGTTCTTATAAAAATGTTGGTTTACTTTCGGGGTGTATGTAGGAAAAATTCCTATTAGTGGAATTTCTGGCCCAATAGGTATGTACATTTTTTTTAATGTGTGTATGAAATTTATCTCCAGTAAGTATCCGTAATTTGCATCTCTACCAGTAGTTTGTAAGAGGTTGGTTTTTCTACTTCCTTGTCAGCGCAGAGCAATACCTTATCACAAGTATTTTTTGTGTAAAATGTCCTTGTACTTTTATATGTCCTTAAATGATTTTAAAAGATAGGAATGCTTCACACATTCAGGTTTTTCTGATGTTCTTTTGTTTTTGTTTTTTTAAATAAACCTTTTGTTTTAGAATGCTCTTAGGTTTACAGAAAAGTTGCAAAAGTTATAGAGACTTCTCATATACCCTTCCCAGTTTCCCCCATTTTTAACATCATCCCTGACCTATGGCACATTTTTCAAAACAAAGAAATTTTTTGTTAGTTAGCAGGGTTAAATTACTGCTAACTAAACTACAGACTCACATTTCACCAGTTTTTCCACTAATGTCCTTTTACTGTCCCAGGATCCAACCCAGGATACCTCGAATTTATTATGAAAGCCTTTTCTTCCCCCTTAATGCTACAGTACTTAGGCATTCTTCTCAAATGACCTTTGGGAGAGGAAGAAATCCCTTACATTTGAGTAGTTTATTTTTGATGTGAAGTTATACCCCTCCCACTTCCAAAAGGATGAAATAGACTTCAGTAAAATCACAGGTACAGTAAAACCAAACAATTACTAGTAACAAGATCAAAACCAGTGCTGGGAAGGAAAGGGTGAACAAACAGTGAATTGACAGGGAAAACTCTGTCAAGGCAAATCTTAGCATTTAAGCACTGAAACTGGTGCTTCCTATTAGCAAGAGCCAAACGACACACATACTGTGAATTGTGTGATTACTCATCTGGTATTTATTAGGTGGCACACAAAATTATTCAAAAATTTAAAATAATTTTTTCTATGCCTGTTACTCAGGGTTTATTATAAGAACTTTTGTGTAAGTGGTTCTTGAAGCGAGGTAAGTATTTTCTAAGTAAATACTTCCTAAAAGTAAATGCACATAATAAATGCATAGAATTTTGTTCCCTGCCTTATAAATGAAACTGCACTTCTGCTGTGTGTTTCGTATTTATCCCTCATAGTTAAAGATTAAACTTGAATGTGCTAGGGTATGCAGTCCTGGCTGCCATAGAGAATATTTTTGGTTCTGGGTGTAATTCAGGGGCATTGCTTACGTACAGAGCATGCCGACTCACTTCTCTCCATCCCTCTTGCTAGAGGAATGAGGCTAGACTGTGTTGCCTTTGAGATTCCCGGCAAGCTTTAGAAAGACTGCGTCCTCAATCCTGTCCTGCAGGTGAAATGGTGCGCCAGGCCCGGGTCCTGGCCCAGGCTACCTCAGACCTGGTCAACGCCATGAGGTCAGATGCAGAGGCTGAAATCGACATGGAGAATTCAAAGAAGCTCCTGGCAGCAGCGAAACTCCTGGCCGACTCCACTGCCCGCATGGTGGAAGCCGCAAAGGTATTTTGTTGGGTTTGTTCAATCGGAAAGTGAGTAACTGAACATAATGAAGAGTTAGGATTTGAAAGGTACCTTTAGCAGAGAGAATGGGCTGCTGAGTATGCATTTTTGTTTGTTTAAAACCCATATGGCTTTGAAACATTTAACCTTGTTCAAGTGGGAAAGGAGGTCACGGAATGTGTGAATGAAGCTCTTTTAGGGAAGTGGTGCTGACTAACCATGGACAATGACATCCATGTGCTTAGCAAGCACTCTTTCCATTGGGTTATCACCATTGGCTTCATTGAAAATGGTGATTAATTTAAACCTTAGATTTTTCAACAGTGAATTCACTTATACATGTTTTCTTCCCACAGCCTGAGTGTTATTTTGCCCTCCATTCAACTTTTCAACTAAACTCCTATGAGGATTTTGCATAATAGAGTACTTCCTGCTTCACTGTTCTTCAAATCCCAGTAGTAATTTTAAGTATTCTTAGGAGGACTTTGAATAAAGAGTTAAGAGTTAGCTTTGTATTTTTTTTGACAGCTGTGCTTCAGCGTGATCCTCTAAAACCCAGCAGTTCTTAGTCCAGGGCTCTTTTTCAGAGCCCCCCGTGAAACATACTAAAGCACACATGCCTCAAGTCCATGCCCAGAGATTCATGAGGTCACTGGTGACACCGTGTGTACGTATGTATGTACATGCTTATGTGTGCGTTCCATAGGGGATTCTGATGCTTACCTCTAGGTGAGAACTATTTTATGTGGATATGACTATATGTTTTTCTCTGTGTGGTGAGAGGGTAGTTATGCAACTAGCACACATTTCTTGTGGAATTGTTAGAAAATACAGATAAGTATAAATTAGAAAATAAAAATCACCTTTAACTTGATACACCCCTGATAACATTTAATGTAAAGGTGTAGTGAATCTTAAATGCACAGAAATACATCTCATCCTTTCTCCCTGGCCTCCAGCAGAATAGTAGTGTATCTCAACCTCGTATGGGAATTATTTTACTTAAAATGTTCTGTTGACATGCAGGGGACTATGTAGACCTTCCGTATCTGACTCACCGTTGTAGTACCTGAGGTACCAAGAATTCTTGGTAACTCCTGGGGGAGACTGAAGAGAGATGCAGGAGAGGAAAGTCTGAACCATCTTCCTCTGTCCCCTGACCCTGTTTTAGCTGAGAAGCTCTGCCCTTAGTCATCCCTTTTAGCAGAAAATATACATTAGTGTTTTGTACTGTAGTACATTTTTTTTATGAGTTCTATTTTGCTACCCACTTCTAAGTCTAAATATACCTCTTTCAAGCAAATTTTCATGTTCACAAAAAACTGCTTGCTAGACTGGAAAGAACCTTAGTGAAAAACCTAGTTACTAATATACAACTTATTGTATAAATAAGAAATTTAAAACTCAAAAAGATCGAGCTTACCATCACATAAGTTTGAGTCAGGACCAATTTATTTCTAGATGTACAGTACTCACCAGACCACTTAACTGAACGTACCAAGTTCCCAGAAACTTACTCCTTTTAAGTTTTGTTATATTTGACTATTTATATTACCTGGGACAACATTAAGGTTTCTATAAATTCTTATAGTTTTTAGTTAAAAGTTGTCATTTGATCTTCATAATAATATTCTAATTTGATGAATTTTGTTGAAAGCTGAAGAAAGTATAAGTACCTCCAAAAATACATTTAATGTGAAAAAGAAATTCATTCAAAATCAGTAACTAAAATTTCAGGCCAAAATTAGTACCTCGTGTCTAATACACATTCATCATAAAAAAGATACTATTAAGGAAGGACCTAAATGCCCACACCAGTGGGAAGCACAGTACCAGTGTCTCCCTGCTGCTTGAAGTAGAAAAATAAAGCTGGAGGCATTTGGCAAGGAGTGGCTTAAAAAATATCTGATGAGGAGAAAAAAATAACTTTCATACACTAGCAAAAGAATATAAAAGTATACTTCCCTGGCAGGAGAGGTCCCATGATCTTTACAAAGGTGGTTTTCCCAGGGCGAGGCTTATCTATCCATTGCACTCCAGATGTGGTGACCCCTGCTATTTCCCCAAATGTGGGAAACTAAACTGCATAATTTATGGTAGTGGGAGACTGCATTTGCGCTTTCCCCTGACCAAAAAAAAAAACTAAAGTAGTCCAAACAGTCCTTTCACACATGAAGTGCAAAAATGCTTTAGTTACTAGAAAAAAAAAAATACTAAAAGCTGTGAAAGTTTGAAAAACCAAAAGATTTCATTCAAGACAATTGCCAAAACAATTCTGTCACAGATGTTAACTCTTATCAACCAGTATGAGTTCCCGTAACTTTTATAAATAGTTCAAAGAAATAGGCTCTCATAAATTGGTATATTTGGCAAGTTGGCCATTTGGAAAAGTAGATGTTCAGAAAATTTATTTTTGACATTTGTTGTGTTAATTTCCACTTTCTTCTCTGACTCAAGAGCAAATACTGTTATCCTAAAATGTTCATGGAAAGAAATTCATTCATCTATATGCATCAAATACAGCCACAACACACACAGCCCTTGTGAGGAAATTCTTGATGGTTGCATTTTTTTTTAATTTCAGGTGGGAGTGGAACACTAAATGTGCTTTATTTAAGTCTTTGCTGAATTGTTGTGTAGTAAAATTATCTCCTCTTTCTATATTACCGTTTGCCTTTCCCTGCTTCAAAATCCCACCCATCTAAATAAAATCCACTTGGATTCCTAAGACACTTTAACCTATAGCAAAACAGTAAAAGGGCCATGGAGCTACACAAGGGAAGTGTGGCCATGGGCTGTGCATGGTGTCTTCCTCTTTCCCTGCCAGGATAAGGAGCATCATATTTCTCTCTTTAATTCAGTGCAGTTGGGTGCCAGCTCTACTTTGCTGTACTTTCCAACTCAGGCTTTCTAGGAGTGCAGTTTCTTGGCATCAATTTTTTTGAGCAACATTTGCTTATAGTATTTTGGATGGCGTTCTCACACCCCCTGCTCCCTCCACCTCTCCCCTGTGTTTGTGCTAACTCTTAGGCATTCACATTTACCAGTGCTATGGGACAAGAGAATGTCTGTCATGCCAATTAAAGTCCTTCCTAAAAGAAATGGGGAGGAGGGAGATTTTATCTCAATATCTTTTAAGCCATGGATTTCTGACCACAAGTTCATTTATATGGACAACCAAGGCTATGATCTCGTGTTTAATTATTACCAATGGATTTCTATTTGGTGGTACAGTTTTGAATCATACCCCAATAGATGTTTTATGTTGTTGTAGAAGAAACATCTTTATCATAAAGATATTTCTGAATATTTGAAGCATTTGACCTTCTCATCCAGAAACTTGGTATTATTAGGAAAAAGTAAAATTGAAGGCATGAATTTAGTGTCTGTGGCATGCTGCCCCCAGACCTCTTGAAATATTTATTTTCGCCTCTCCAGGGGGCTGCAGCTAATCCTGAGAATGAGGACCAGCAGCAAAGACTAAGAGAAGCTGCAGAAGGTCTCCGGGTGGCAACCAACGCTGCTGCCCAGAATGCTATTAAGAAAAAAATTGTCAACCGATTAGAGGTCAGTAAAGGCTGGTTTTCTAGGATGTCCATTTTAGATTGCAGAGAGTTATTTGAAAGAATAATGGAATTGATAAGCAGTGCCCATATAAAGGAAGCTAAATCAAGATTAACAATATAGCTTAATGGTTTGGGGACTATAAATAATTTGAAATGTTGGTTTATGTACATTGTACATTTAAGTTCAGTAGTTTTAGGCACATTGACACAATTTGAAATATTGCTTGAGTTCATGGTTTCAGCAAGCCAGAATCTTTTCAGAGTTAAACATTCTTAAATAGAATTCAAAGTTTTTTTCAGGGGGAGCCAGGATATTTTGTTCCTGCATTAAGGGATGTCCATGTTCAGAAAGGATCTTTAGCTAAAAATATATATATATATATATTGCTGGAAGCAATGAGCCTGTCATACTCTTAAGAGAAAATACGGACTTTGGATGACTAGGGAATGGGGATCAGGCTTGAATGGAGAGGTATGGGAGAAAGTAATAAGAAATATGTCATTTTTCAAAACATTTATTTTGAAAAAATAGTAATAGGCACAAACCATAAGAAAATAAATTTCACAAATGTATACAGGAGACTCTTCAACTACAGTTGGGGAGTTTGGAAGCTGAGGAATCCATGTATAGTTTGCTGAATTCTGGACGAAAACTGGCCTCTTGTTCTTGGAAAGATACAAGAGAGTCACATGATAAAGTGCTCTGGTGGGACAGTCTGGGCCTTTCTGAACCAAGGCTTCTCATGATTTGCAAGAGGAAACCATGAACATCAGTACTGGTGCTTAACACAGAGAGCAGCCTATGCTGCCTCTGGGAAAACTTTTTTTCCCCTAAAACATTTAGACTTGGTGCTGCTTATCAGTGCCATCATGGTCTCAGAATTGTCTCTAATCTTTTTGCGAAAGACAAGTGAACATTGGAACTTGAGCTTTCAAGTGGCTATCTTTCTTTATCACTTGACTCTGGAACATGAACCAGTCAAAGATAAGGCAAGATACCCTGGCACTGTTAAGTTAGGGGGTTAGGGTCATCAGGGGTATTTAAAAGACAGAGCCTGTAGTTCGTCTCTTACAGCTCTGCAGAGCACCCTTTGGTAAAAGGGACATATATAAAAGTGCATGTGTGTCTGTCGGCACAGACTCTGGCTCATTTCCCTTCGCTCTCCTCCTGTCACTTGCCTCTCCAGGTTGCAGCTAAGCAAGCAGCAGCTGCGGCCACGCAAGCCATCGCCGCCGCCCAGAACGCGGCCATGTCCAACAAGAATGCCGCCGCCCAGCAGCAGCTGGTGCAGAGCTGCAAGGTGAGGGGCCGGTGGCCTGAGAGCAGGTCTGCTGTCCACCAGCCTGATAGCATTAGAGCGCCATGCGCCCCTGTAATTTGGTTAAGACCCATCACTCAGACCCCTAATCCAGTTTATTCCGGCTCCCCTGTTGGAGGTGTACACACACCTGGTTTTTGTCTGTTAAGGGGGTGGCCTGTGTTTGGAGGGAGAGTATGACGTCTTTCCAGCATTGCCTGCCTTAGTCTAGATTCTTTTCTTTTGGAGAGATGGAATCAAGGAGAATCAATGACAAGGCCATTTTAGGGCTCTGAAATAGCCAACGAGGCGCTGAATTTCCGGAGTGTTTTTCTCCCTTTAAGAGGCGGGCCTTGCCTACCGTCTGTCCTTGGCACAGGGCTGATTTCCTGCTTCACACCGATTGCGCCTGGAGGATTTATTTCACCCTGTCCTGGCCCGCAGTGCCGATGTGCTTCGGAGCTTTCCAGCGTTGCCTCTTTGTGCTTCTCAGACCTTGGCCTCGAAGCCATGTTGAAGCCAAGTACCAAAGGGGCATAAATACCTTTCTTGCCTCCTCTGAGGGCCGTCTCCCAGGAGACCCCCGAATGGCACCAGACACAAAATCTCATTGCGTAGCCGTTGGCCACATGTGGGCATCACGTCGGGTCTCCTGGAAGGGTTGCAGTCGGCAGCGGGAGTGCGTGGCCAGGCAAGTTTGGTTGTGCTTGCGTCCTGAGAGTTAACTGCCCACTCTCCCCTTTTTAGGATCTCCTCTGAAATGATTTACACCGTGAAGAGTGTTGGCTCTTCTACCTCAGAAGTGTCTTTACTTCCGTGGGTCACCACGTGGAGTCCCCTGAGCTGAGTCTGGGTTCTCTGAGGCCAGCGCCCCCACTGAGCGGGTGCGCTCTGCAGAGAAGCCTCCGCAGTGCGGTCCGGGCTCTCCTCTGGATTGTACGCCTAGAGGAGGGTTTTTCTGAGTGTCAGGCCCCTGCTGGGGGTGGGTGGGCAAGGGGAGTTTGTTAGAGCCTCGGTTCATCTGCCAGGGGTGGAGAAACGTCCTGTCCCCTTCCCAGGGAAGCACATGCTGCTTGTGTGCAGGAAGCTACTGCAGGATGAACTCCCCCTCGACTTCTGGCCAGGAAACAAGCTGCCTGGTCCCTGTCGGGAAATAAGAGCCTGACCATCTGTTGGGTTGTGGTGGAAAGAGAAAGGTGGATGAAACCACTGGAGCCAGCAGTCCTGAGAAGCACCTGAGGGAAACGTCTTGGAAATATTTTTTTATTCTTGCTGAAATGGGCTCCTGATAAAACCGTGTCATCACGCTGGGGATGCACTTGGGACCTTCCTCAGCAGTGGTGGCCACTGTGCTTGACCTTTGGGGACCTGGCTTATCAGAGGGGTCGTGAGCACAGAGAGGAAATGTGGAAGAGCACGAACAGGTAGATGGCTGCTCTCCGGAGGCACCGTGGGAGATGGTCCCTTTAGAGTGGTCTCACCTCAGAATTGTTGCTCCTCCCTCCTCCACCCGGGTGTTGGGTTTTCCAGTTTGAGAAATGAGCACGGCTGCTTCTAACAGGAAGAGGAGCCATGGGAACGTGAAAGCTGACAGAATGTATATCTGCCAAGTAAGAACGGAAGCACGGAAATATGCTGGCAATTGAGTACTTGTCACACTTTCTTCTGATCTTGGAAATGCATGACTTGAGTTGATCTGCCTGTGAATTGTATAGATTCTTTGATTCTAAGTTCTCAACCCTAATAAGCCAGAATGGTGTGAATTGCAACTGGGGAAATACCTCTAAGGCCTCTTTATGGAGAATCACAGTGCACTAAATGTTTTAGGACCTTTGGGGCCACAGGATAGAGTGTGAGTGGGCGAGAGCTACCCAGAGGTACTATCTTGGGTTTCAGTGTGGGTAAGAACCCAGCTGGCCAAAGGTGCTGTGTAAATCCACAGTATAGGACTTGTATTTCCCAGGAGTGAGCACATCCCTAAAACATCCACCACCGGGGTCATCTTCCACTCTGTTACGGTAGTTCACCATGCTAGGTGTGCTCAGTTGTAATTTTCCCTGCTTCCTCTAGGCTGTGGCTGATCACATCCCTCAGCTAGTTCAGGGGGTGAGAGGGAGCCAAGCCCAAGCAGAAGACCTTAGTGCCCAGCTGGCTCTCATCATCTCCAGCCAGAACTTCCTCCAGGTAAGCATCACCCCCATTGGACCCAGAGCCTCGCATTGGGCAGGGAGCGCCCTGTTGCTTAAGGAGAGGAGTTAATGAAT